TTAACTGACTCACAAGAAAACCCTAAATTAGATAGTAACGAAAATTTAGATATTAACAAAAAATTAGATAATAACGAAAACTTAGTAACGAGAATTTAAATAGTAGCGAGATGCCTCAAGAATTTAAATCAGAATATTTAAGTTGTATTCCCGAATTTGATGGGAATCCATGCGAATTAAGTCGATATTTATCTACTAGTGAATCTCTAATTGGCAATTTTTATGATTTCCAAAATCAAAACAATTTCAAAAACTTTTCTTGTTAAATTCAATCATAGGTAAATTACGCGGAAGTGCTAAACAAGTTGCTAATATAAAAAGCGTAACTACATGGGAAGAATTAAAAGCAATTTTAACTACTAGTTTTGCCGATCAGAGAGATGAAGCCTGTCTCAACAGAGATTTAGTCACGTTAAGACAGGGTCCAAATGAAACTCCAAAACAATTTTTTGACAAATGTTTAGACATTTTGAATCTTTTATGTAGTTATGTCGAAGTACACGAGACCACGCTAGAAGCGAAAAATCTTAAACGAACATTATATCAGGAACTAGCTTTGAAAACATTTCTATCTGGGTTAAAAGAACCCTTGGGCACTACAATAAGGTGTATGAAGCCTAACTGTTTAACTGAAGCTTTACAGTATGTTATAAAAGAACAAAATAATCATTATTTTCAAAATTTCCCAAATCAAAATTTTACAAGACCACAAAATAGAATAAATCAAAGCAGACAAATACAGTTTCCACAGCAAAGAAATAATTTTGTTCAAAATGTACCTTTTAATTTTCAAACTAATCAATTCAGGCAAAATTCATTTCCATCTCAACCGATAAATATTCAACCTAGAGCAAATGTTCAGCAACCAAGATATTTTACAAACGCCCAAGTTTTTAAAGAGCCAATAAATACAAATGTTTTCAAGCCGAATCCTAATAATCAAGTTTTTTCTAAACCAACGCCAATGAGTGTGTCAACTAGAAATACTGTAAACTATTCTAGACCCGGTCCATCAAATTTCAATAGGCAAAATCAAAATTTTAAACCCACTCCAATGAGTACTTCCACTCGCAATTTTAATTATAATCAGCGGTCAAATTTTGTTGCCGAAGAACTTTTTAACATAGAAATTGACCATAATAATTTTTGTGATAATTCCAATACATATTATTGTACTGATCAATTCGAAACTGATCAGTATCACCCAAATAATCAGAAATATGATGAACTTTCGAATATTGCGAATATAAATAATGAAAATGTCAATGAAAATGTTCAAGTAATGCTTCAACCGTCAGAAATAACTCCATCAATAATATCCATTAATACCATCGATTCGAATGAATTGCCATATATAATATTTCCCGAATATGACATCAAAATTTTTATTGATTGTGGATCCACAAAATCCTTTTTAGACCCAGATATTGCTTATAAATATTTTCCAAATTTAATAAAAAAAGATCCATTCATAGCATCACAAGTTTTTCAAACATCATCTCACGAATTTAGCGCTAGCATTCCAGCCTCAAAAATATTCCAATTACCAGAAATTACATATCTTAAATTTTATTTATTCAAATTTCATAATGTATTTAATGGACTTATTGGATTAGATAATATTAAATATTTACAGGCAAATTTAGATTTTAAAGACGGATATTTGGTTACTCCTTACAATAGAATTAAGTTTTTATTTCACCATACTAACAAAGAGCTCAATTTAATCGAAATTCACACTAATGAGGCTCCATTCTGGGAAGGACTAGGCGAAATACTTAAAGAAGTTGACATTAATACTGAAAACAATCCAAAATTATTCTCTAATTCCAAACAAACAGATATACCTAACACACAGAATTCACAAGTAGACTTATATACTGAAATTCTCCCCATTCCTGTCAACCTGACAGCAAGTCCTTCACTAAACAATAATATAAATGACCAAACAATCAATAATAATCAACAAAACGAAAATTTAGACAAATTATCAACACAAATTCAACCTGATATTGAACCTCAAAATAAATTTATAATCGATAATGATGAACTAAGCGACGACAGCAACAATCACACAGTACATTCCAATACTGTAAAAGTTTCTATCTTTGAAATACCTGTTACAGATACAGCTGTTAACTATGATTAAAAAAAAATAATTATTTCAATACTTTCCCCTGCTAATTCCAAAATAAAAATATTGTTTGAAAAGAAGAAACCTATAAATTTACAAGTACCACAGAATAAATTTGAACGCGATATCATTGACTTTATAAAAAACTACATTAATCCCGATTCACAGTACTATTTATATTTCAAAATTGCCGAGTTATTTGAACCGTTTTTAGTAACCCTACAAAAATATTTTAAATACTCATTTTTGGAATTGAAAAAATGTACCAACAAACTAATTCATATTACCGAGAAAATAATTATAAATAAATTAATCCAAAATTATCACGAAGGTAAATCCAATCATAAAGGAATTGAGGAAACCCATCAAAGAACAAAAGACAAATATTGGCTGTTCATGAAATTATCAATTCAAATATTTATTAACGATTGTGTAAATGATCCTAGAGAACACTCTAAATTACTCTATTGCAAAATTAAAGAAAACTTAATTAAGAAAAAAGAAAAGCGCATACAAAACGTAAACAAAATACGAAATCTCCCGAAAATATTTGAACAGGATCATAAAATATTTATAAAAATTCACAAAGGCGACATTTTTCACAAGAAATTAACACATAAAGAAATTAAACAATAAAAAGAAAACTTTATCCACTAAAACTCAACCCGAAATACACATGAACAATATAAAACGTTCCTTAAAAATACCTTTAGTTTTGAAAATTAACCAGTATTATCTTTTTAGTTTCCCAGGTATCTTCGGAATCATGGAAAGAATAGAAATACGAAATGTATCCGATAATCCTGGCATAATCCCAGTAAAACTTGGAACAGCAAAAGTCAGTGAATATTATTATAAGTTAATTCATTATTATGATCTAGAACCCCTAATAATAGAAATCAATAAATTGAAAATTCAGTCTTCAAAATTAACATATCTTTTACACAATATTCATATGAATACAACGTATTTAAAAGAAAGTTCGAGTTGTCTAAAAATTTTAGGATTTTTGGAAGAAAAGATAGAATATCAATTATTAAATATAATACCACATCCAAACAGACTCAAACGCGGCCTTATAAACGGACTAGGATCTATTTTTAAAACAATTACAGGAAACTTAGACGCTAACGATGGCGAACGTTACGATAGGTTAATCGAACAATTACAAAATGATCAAGAAAATTTAGCATCTAGTGTGAAAAATCAGAATTCTTTATCGTTACAACTGATCAATAATTTCAACAACACCATTCAAAAAATAATACATAACGAAAAACTGTTTGAAGAAAAAATAAATCATATTGCTTCATTTATTGACGGATTACCTGAACATTCATTGTACATTAAAGACATTATCAGTCAAATGATTGGTTTGTATAATATAATTTATTCAATAATTCAAGATATTGAAAGTTCAATAACGTTTAGCAAATTAGGAAAAATGCACCCAAGTATAATTAGTGCAGTTGACTTTTCGAGAGAATTAAAATATATACAAAAGGAATTAACACAAAATAAACTACCTCTGAAAATTACATTAGAAAATACTTTGATAATAGAACAATTGGTAAAAATTGAAAGTTATATATCAAATAATCGAATTGTATATATTCTTCATATTCCAATAACTTCTTCTATTGATTTTGATCTATATCACATATACCCAATTCCCATTCTTGAAAAGAGTCAGTCCAAGGTAATTTTACCTGAAAATAAATACTTAGTTTTAAATAAGTTGTACTACGCTTATACATATGACCATTGCAAGAAAATCTTACCAAAAATATACTTCTGTAACGATCTGGAGATACAAGAAATCCAAGACACCAATCCCTGTGAGATCCAACTACTAAGCCTGAAAAATACATCTACTTGTCAACAAACGATCATTCCTATACAGCACTCCACCGTCACAAAATTTGAACATACTAATCAATGGTCCATCACCTTGCCAGAAGAAGAAATCATAAAAATCCACTGCCATAATCAAGAAGAAGTTATAAAACTTAAAGGGACATTCATTGTCAAAATTCCAATTGGTTGCCAAATTATCAGCAGTTTCAAAAATATAACTAACCGAGAAAATTTCACAAATTTAAGTCAACCTGTATTATTCCCAGCTGTAGAAACTCCTAGCGATGTTAACCTGCCAAAATTGGACTTTCACTTCAAGTTAGAAGATATAAGCTCTAGAGATTTACAATTAATAAAAAATATCATCAAAAATCAATCGAAATCAACGTATCATGCAATTTCACACATACCAAGCATTTGGACAATTCTCATTTATATATTATGTACTATTTTAATCGGTTTTGTGTGTTTCAAAAAATATGCCAATAGAAAAGTCCAGGATAACCAGAAAACTCAAGAACTTGCTGAGGTTCAAATCCCTCGTTAACTCTCTGGATTTGAAACTTCGAGGGGAGGAAATATGTCACCATTCATCCCTGGAATTCTAAGAATAACGCTGATACCTTAGAAACTCAGTTATGTGCCGTATCGGATTACAACACTTGTTCGGTTGTTTTATGATAATGTAAAACCAGATTATTGTTAGCTTTTATGCGATTAACACCGTAGTAATATTTTTTTGTAATTTAAAAGTAAAATAAATTTTTTAAAAAAGACTTTCGGCATTGTGGAGAATTATTTCGAGTAGGTATGTTTATCTCGTACAAATGTTGGCCGATTTGATTACAATCCTCTTCGATGTTTTACGAATATCGGCCTACAATTAATACACCATATGGCTCGTATACTTTTTTCAAACCTCTTTGCTGTTTATCAGAAATATCAAATACACAAAAACAGTTTATGCTATACTATTTCCAAATTCTTATACGCTTCTTGCATTTTGTAGGCACGATCGCGTCATATTTTCGCCAATGATAGTTTAGTAAGTGAACGAGAAATTTATTTTTTTTTGCTGTCGCTTTATATGCTTATTTTTATTCGGTTTAGTACCGTTACCGATTGCTTAAATGTATATTTTATTATCGTCTTCTAAAATAAGTTAAAGCTTTGTAAACGAAACGTTTTGTTCTGCAATTCCTAAATATTATCTTGACATTTTTTTATGATTAACCATCCTATTTGCATTCGTCATTAGTAAATAAACCAAATTTTAATATATACATGGTTCGCGGATGAATGAAACAGAAGGAAAAGTTTTTTATTTTCACCTTCTCGCAAAAATATTCTTTTTCAAAACTGATAATAATCCAAACAGAAGTTGAATTTGCTTTAGTGAAATAATTATTATTATTTCACTAAAGCAAAGATATATTCAACGTCTTTGAATTATTATTATTATTTTTGAACCAAGCAAAGACTCTTATGAAGAAAATAAAAAAGTTTTTTCTTTTTTTCAGTCCATTCGAGGACACCCTGTACAATTATAGAATCACTGTGATAGCTGACTGGCATTGCTTGTCACAAATCTTGTAAAATAAAAGTCTCAAGATTTTATTTAGGGACTATTTTGTGCTATATACAAGGTCTGTTTAATAATAATGAGCATATTTCTATACATTGTATTTATTTTTTATTTACAATTCAACCTCATCAAAACGCTGTGACGGACATATAAAAAGAGACTATCTAGAAAACATACTCTCCATATTTATTTTATGTTCGTCAAAGACTTATCTCGCTTTTTTATATTGCCTAGACGGAAATAAAAGGAAATCTTTGCAGTGTTGCCAGTTCGTTCGCCAAAAATGCATTATGCCAGACCTCGTATATGTTATGAAAGGCATCCGCTATCAGTAGCATTAATACTTGGTTTTCGAATTTAACCATGTTGTCCATTTAGTTGGGTTAGAAATAGAAATATACAGGGTGTCCCGAAATTAGACGGTCATATTTTAACAGCGCAATGTTAAAATAGAAGTAAAAGTTTATATAGACATAGGTCCGAAATAGTTTCGTTTTTAAAATACAAGGTGTTAAAAGTTAAATATTGATCACACATTTTTATTAATATTTTCTAAACGTTTAAAGATAACTAAGTGAAATTTGGTACACAGAAAAAAAAGGTGTACTTTTATTCAAGATGAATGGTCTTATTTCAATGCTTTGTTGTGTTTGCATATCCGCAAGTAAAACTGTTCTTAAATCCAATACAACTAAATTTATTACAATAAATACAGTAATATATTGATTTTGGTTGAATTATAGGATAGTTTCATTGAAGAAATTAATAATCTTAAAATAAGAACAGGTTGTTCTTGCTTTTTAATAGGGTTCTCAATGGTACCTATCCCTTTAAAAACTTTTTAAAATTGTTTTTAGTTAATGTACGAAATTCTCTGTCCTATAATTAAAAAAAAATAATTTTATAACTACAAAACCTAATTGGAACATAAAAGTTTGTCCTGCTGAGATAAGAAGTCGTATCTACAAAATGAATATTTTTAGTAAATGTAGGTAGATAATTAGGTACGTCCTTTTAGACTTCGCAAATAAGTTTTGCATATTTTACTAATCTTTTCTTATAATTATGGTAAATATTTACTAATACAAATAGGATTTTATTATTTTGTCATAATAAAATAAAATGTAAGCTTATTAAATTTGTATAAATCTTGAAATCGGAATTTTCGTAGATACCTCTTGTCTTAGCAAGGCAGAAGTCGTCTTTCCAAAAAGTCGTCATCCAGCATTATACATTTTTTTTACTTCTATTCCAGTTTGTTTTGTATTCCTATGATTATAAATTTACTTATATATGTAATATAACACCTAACAAGAGGTGAACTAAAAATACATTTAAATATTGATATCAGGTCGCTGAGGCACCATCCATTTAACAAATCTTCCATTCCAATTTAATTTATTCATACACTTATTAATTAAGGTAGTTCACTCGTAAAACGGCTTTTCTTAAGAATTCAATAAAATTTAATTATAAGGTTTATGAAAGTGTCGTTTACGTAACTAAAAAAAAAATAGATTTTTTGACCATCTGTGAAACGAGATATTAACAATCAAAATGTGCATAATTAACACTCTTGAAGCCTATCATGTACACAAGCAATGCATTTATTTCAAGATATCTCGAAAACGGTTCTTACCATATTTTTTAAAAACTAATGTTAAATAAATCAAGAAGTTTTATAGATAATCGCTGAATTTTTTGACTATCTTAGTAAAAAGATAATGATTTTTAAAATAAAAATGTTTTTAAAGCAGTTGACGAGTAGTTTCGTAAAATTATTACAACTTGGCAACATTGTAGCCACTTCACGTATCAAAGTAACACTCGATCAGCTAAGAGGTTGTTATAAACTCGCGACGTGTTCTTGAAAAATTAATTCGTCCACTGTGTTTGAGAACTGGAATCAGCGGTTCTGTTTGAACCAAAACAAACCCTTAAAATTAGTATGAGGAAGTCACAAATTTCTATACCATATCGTTTAAATATTTGCGAGTTTGCCGGATGAAATTGAATAAAATTATAACTTGTCCATATGTGTTTATATACATGTGTTTTGTACAGTCTCTTACAAAAATAAAATTTATTAGCATTGAGAATCTCGAACTTTTGGTATTCACCATTACGCGATATTTTTATGTACGACTGTCGCGAGTGAACTACCTTAAATCACAAAGAATTTCTAACCAAAAGTAGAACGCAACCCTAACGATACCACGCAAACTTGTTAGAAAATTGACAATGACAATGAACACATGCTAATGCCAATTTGGCAGATTCTCTATAAATGCGTTGTGTCTCTGACTTCCGAAAGTATCACATCTCAACATGTACTAGTTATATATCTACTGTACCAGTGCAGTGGCGCCATTTTAAAATAAGTTTCAGCTGGCAACACCGTGTAGTGAATTTGTACTCGCTAATCTTTTGTGAAGTACATAGGTTTTTGATTCGAATTGTTTAATTCTTGTTCTAAAATTTAAATGCTTTGAATCGAGTCCTTTTATAACATTGAATCAAGTACGCGATAGTCGGTTTTAAGAGCATATCATACTTACAATAAACGTAAGAGCTTTCTTGGATTAATTAACAATTCTCTACTCGAATAAAATAATTTATTCTCAGATTAATTATTATAAATCTTAAAATACAAGATTATGCCTACACTTCACTCAACATTTATTTTCTTATTGTATCCAGAAATACTATTTGACGCAAACTCTTCTTTATTTCAAACAAATATAATCTTCCAAGTGGACAGCTTTTCTTGAATGTAGATGATAATTTTTTTCTGTGAATAGATGCTAAACTTTTTACGCTATATTTAATGGACTAAACCCCATTTTTTAATCATCTTCATAGGTGGGTAAATTGGGGGGCGAGCTTATGGTAAAATTAGTTTAAATAAATAGTTTAAACGTCGACAGTTAAAAAAATTAATTCTTATCAGTCGATTTATTGGGCCAAAGTCAACCAAACCATTTGGAAAAAAGTTTCTTTATAAAATAATCATTAAAAAACAATTAAAAGTCATCGGTTTTCCAAAGCTGAAAAAAATAAAATTTTTGATTCCACAGGCCTACTAATTATTGTTTGCACTTTTAAATAACTTATCGAACTTATGACATTTTCAAAAGTGTGCGCCCTAAAATGTATCATCAGGACTTCACTTTTAACACCCTGTATCTCGAAGACGAAACGTTTTTGGACCTATGTTTATATGAACTTTTACTCCTATTTTAGGATGTAGATTAAGCTGTTAAAATATGACCGTCTAATTTCGGGACACCCTGTATATGTGATATCGTAAACTAGAAGTAAAATCACTCGACGCCATCTTGTTAAGATTTATTAAGATCACCTCGCTTCCGGACCTTCGAATTCATGTAATGAGTGAGTTAAATTATTAAGATTTATCGAAGTATGTATAGGGCACACAATTCTTCTTTTTTAAATTCAGAGGCATTTAATATTATCTTGAGCATGATTCGAATTTCTCATGAATCATGACCTATTTTAGATGCTTTTTTATCCACAAGGTATATTATTTAGAAAGAAAAACATGTATTGGTCTCAATCTGTAGGCTAAGAGGGGTTTATCAATTTAGAAGGATGCACAACGGGCCTATTAAGGCATGAGTGCCGTGACGGCAACCCACCCTCCACATGTATGTGATATATTTGTCTAGACTTTTATTTTTTAAGAGTTTTACTTTTTTCACTTCGTAATTTGTTTTAAACTTTTTAAAATTGAAATATCAAATTATTTTTCTCCGTAGCTACGTTCCTAGATTTGGAATGCTAAAAATACGCCAACTCTCGAAAAAAGTGTCCATAAATCAGCTGAAAGTACAAAATCTAAATGTGAAACATCAAAGACGCCGCTACTGAGTGATTTTACTTCCAGTTTACCTCTAAATCGCTGAGAATAACAAAACTCTATAACAATTCAACCCGAGAATAAAATATTCGAAAATTTTACTCGCTATCTGACTGCAGATTTTTTTTAATTGAATAATATGCAGGGTGTTTCATAAAGACCTGATTAACTCTCTAGGGAGAATAGTACGTCAACAAATAATGTCAGTTTTCTTAATAAAAATATAAAAGGAAATATATTCCAATTCTCAAAAGTGATTAATTTAAAATGAAAAGCAAAGGAAAAGAGAACATGAGTGCCCGTATCACAGCAAAGTCGAGAGACCGTTTCTCTCTTGAAAAAAACTACTCCCTTGGCTAATACCGCAACAGGAATTGCATTATATCAAAAGAAAGACAGCAAAGATAGAAAACGGAATGATGGTACACCCCTTCGAAGGGGGTTGAAGGTTACCAACTTTTAAACGAAATTTCAAAAATTAAATCACTTAAGTCGAGTTTCCAAAAAATTCTATGACTGAATGGGTAAATAAAAGTTCCTCACCTTTTTTCTGTTTTCTAATTTTTTAAAGCAGAATTCAAATTATGATTTTTGGGTTATTTTTACAAACAGCTTCAGTGCCCACATCCAGTTTACTGGACGCAAGAAAATCTAATAACAGTCCGCGTCCAGTTAACTTTACACCCCTTAAATATTAAATATACGTGTTCTTATAAATGACGATCTATGACAATATAATCTAGGTTTCGAAATGGGCCTTGGGCAAAGATTTGCTCTAAAAATGTAGACTTATTTCAAATTGTTGGTTTTTACTTAACTAGAACCTGTTTGCTATGCATATGGCACAAAATAGCGGGTATCAAAAGTCAGTCAAAAAATGATTAAAAAAAAAACTTAACTAATTTACCTAACCTATGCGGCCTGAAGTCATCTCTGGTTGATTAACAAAAAATTATACATATAATGAGAAAATGGTACGTTTAAATCTCACAATGCACATTTGTGGCCAGAAGAATACGGTAAATTATTATTAGTATTCGTTTAAAATAAATCTTTTGTGTTGCAACAACTTCATTGGATGCCATATTTTTAAACAAAATCTAAATGATAAAATGTATTACAATTTTCTGTCTAATAGACTTTTTGATATATTAGAAAAAATTTTCTACACCCACATGGATATTAACTATTCTACGCACAGACTACAAAACGAAAAAGTATGCCATTGCGTTCAATTAAACGAATATATTTAATATCCATTCTACCTAGTAAGAATACTGCAAAAAAATTAAATCCAACAATCACAGTTCAGTTTTGGTCACGCTGCTATTATTTTTTAAATTTGAAATAAGTGACAATTTTGTCAAACTAATTGTCAGTATATATTTTAGTTATTAAGATTAAATATACATTAAAATGAGCTATTCTTGTGTAGAATCGATAAATAATAGCATTTTTATTTCGTCTAAATTTAGGAAATAAATTTAAATAAAACTAAATGAAATTAATTTAAATACCAGTATTAACTAAATTCCTGTAAATGGCAATAAAGCAGGGACTAGGGCATCTGGCTTTCATGTGAAAAACCCAGTTTCAATTCTCGACTGGGGACTAATTAAATTAAATCTTTTTTTATATGTTTATTTTATTTTATAAATTAGTAAAAGTCCTAAATTTGTAGATTTTCGTTAGTGGGTCATAGAAAAAATATACTGTACAACTCGAGTAGATTGTTCATATCGACTTTTGCTGCACAAACTACTATTGGTCACCCGACTACTATTATTTTTTAAAATTTTGAATAAGTGACCATTCTGTCAAACTAATTGTCAGTATATTTTTTTAGTTATTGATATTAAATACATTAAAATGAGTTATTTTTGTGTAGAATTGATAAATAATAGCATTTCTATTATTATTTCGTCTATATTTAAAATAAACCATACATTTTTAATAAAACTGTGAAATCAATTTAATTATGAGTATTAGAACTAAAACATTGTGTGTGGCGATGGAGCAGTGACTAGGTCATTTGGCTTCCATGCAAAGGTCCCGGGTACAACTCTAAAATTGTAGAATACTTAAATTAAATCTTTTTTTTTTTATTTTCGTATATACATTAGTATAAGTCCTAAATAATTTTTTAATTAGTTATTTTACCTTAATAACCTAAATAAATATTTAACATTTTTAGAGTTTCGTTACTATACAACTCGAGTGGATTGTCCGTGAATTATCCGTATCGCCTACGAAGTTTATCTCAAACTTCGTCTTCGTGCGATATGGCCACTCTTGTTGTACCAATTACTATTATGCACGTTGGAGCTGCGCCACATTTTAATGGATTAAGTGTGGAGGCTTCAATACAGTGGCCTAGGCATATGTGAAACAAAAAGTTTATGACACAAAAGTGAATAGATTAGAAGTATTAAGGGAAAGGATAATAAATACTTTTATAAATAGTTCTTTCTCGAATTTGACTTAATTTAAAGAGATTAGCAATTTGAAATTAAAACGCAAATTATGACTAAACAGTTCTCTTTTTTTTTGACATTTGCTAAGATTACCTTTTTTGTTTTAAATGTGCTTAACTACAAATTCATAATTTCAATTGTTATACGAAAATGTAGCTAATTGATAAAAGGGGAGGAAATAATTAACCCCTCGACCCTTAGTTACCCCTATTTTTGGAAAGACGATTTAAATGATGTAATTTAATACCTACTCTCAAAATTTGGATTAAATCGGTTAGTAAGTTTTTGAGATATCATTGAAAAGTTGTAACTTCAACCCCCTTCGAAGGAGTGTACCACTATTATTATGCGTTTTCAGACATATGTTTATTCATGGCCTTCTTTACGACGGCCATGGTTTATTAAGTAAATTAACATTATTTTTTTACTATTAGCCCTAGAGAGTTAGTCAGGTCTTTATGAAACACCCTGTATATTAAAAAATCTTACATATCAAATTTTATGCATTTTCACATAATGTTTAGACTTTTAAAGAAAAATACTCATTAGGTTTAATGTGTTTTAATAATTATTTTAATTCAAAATAAATTTCTTTACCTTTGAAATTAAAATATTTTGCCCTTTATTCAATAGTGAAAATATCAAATAAAAAAAGACCGTTAAAATATTTTGAAAGTAAAAAAAAATATTGAATTTTACACTCGTGTCAGTGGAACAGTAATTTTGATTATAAAGTCTTTGTAAATGGCCAGTCGATAGCGATATGACTTTATATGATATGAACATTTCAAGAGTAAATTCAAGGAAAGGATCAAATATAAAACTTGAGAGAAAAAGTTGGTGGATGTTAGTAAGATGAGAAGTGGATTGCCTCTAAATATTATTTGTTTTTTCTGTTTCACTTAAGAAAACACAATTAAATTTTCCTTAGGGCGCGGCGGGTTGTACAATAGGCAGTTGAAATGTAATCTTAGTATAAACTGTGAATCATCGGGTATTGTTAAACATAGTTTAAAAATGACATTTCTACGTTTAATATAACTAGTTAAAAATTAAACTTTGTTTGCTAAACTGAATTTACAGCATTCTTTGTACAACCCGCCCTTACTGTCGATTGGGTCATTTTTGCAAACGTACTAAGACGTAATGCAACTAGAACGTACTTTTTTTTTAGGAAGTTCAACGAAGAATAACAGAAAGAACAAATTTATTACCCAGATCTTCAACATCTTCGAGAGGAGAAGAACAGGCTATCAGCTTTCTCAGCGCTTTACGTATACCTGGTGTGATAGAATTTTCCTTAGCATTATTTTTTTCAAAACTAGTCAGTTACACTTTCTTATATTGGTTACCGCTGTACGTCAACCACGCAAGTAAGCCCACGTTTGCTTAAAATGTGATTCTTGGATAACAACTGTTTATTTTCCAGCGACTATGAGCGTTGCGGTCAGTGCCGATTTGTCCACTTTATTCGATGTCGGTGGAATAGCTGGTGCAATAATAGCTGGTTATTTGAGTGATAAATCTGAAATGCCGGCTACTACATGTTCTGTAATGTTGATATTAGCAGCTCCTATGGTAAGAAAAAAAAATTTAAAACATTTTTTGTGGCCAAGGTAATAACCGCGGTGGAAATTAAATAAATAGGCCCACATTTGATTCAAATATTCCACTAATTGTTTTTTTTAGATGTGGGTATACCAACAAGTCAGTGTGTTTGGCTTGGGATTTAACATGCTCTTACTAGTATTAGTAGGGTTGCTAGTTAATGGACCTTATGCTCTTATTACCACTGCCGTTTCAGCTGAATTAGGTACTCATCGTAGTTTGGAGGGAAATTCAAAAGCATTAGCTACCGTTACTGCCATTATTGATGGGACTGGATCAATTGGTAAGTTTAAACTAAAGTTATTTACGAGCATAGCTACAATTATTGCTTACTGTTGCTTTTTTTTTTTTCGGATCTTCTTACTCGATTGTTTTTCAGGTGCTGCAGTGGGTCCCTTGATGGCAGGTTTTGTCACTAACTACGGTTGGCAGAAAGTATTTGTCATGTTAATGATTTCTGATATTTTGGCATTGTTCCTTCTATTGAGATTAGTGAAACAAGAATTCCTTAAATATAGAAATGCGAGAAGAGCAGGAATACGTATAGAATAGAAATATTAAAATTATTTTTCTTTGTGATACTTATCGCTACTAACTGGCGTTAAAGAAAATCCTTATATAAAATTTAACTCTTGGGAAAGCAAATATCCAATTTTAAAGTGATAATTAGGAAATTATTTTGATCAATTTCAGTATTTATTTGTAATTGTTTTGTTAAGAGTGCTGCCAATTATTCTTGTCAATATTTATTAATAAATAGAGAAATATGGAACTTGAAATTATTATATATATTTATTTTAGCACATCATTTTTAGAGTTCAATATTGTATAATGCATTTTCCTAAATTTCCATAATCAAAATGTAAAAGATTGTATTTTTTGCCTTTATTTGTTTACAAAACCTTTCCAAACTATTTAAATATTTTCTCATTTTATTTGCGTTTTGTTATGAACAATTTTAAAACCTGTTATTTGTCGAAGGTCTAACTTTTTTAAAAAACAAGCATTTCTTAGTTAAGTTTAAACTAGTAAACAAATTTATATTTATTTTAAATTATTTATCCATTCCGATGTCTTGAGGGTAAAAAACTACCTTATCGGCGCAATTTTATTTCTTGATAATGGGGTCGTTCAAGTATTATGTAAGCAGGCTTAGGGGACAGAAGTTTCAAGTTTTAGGTTAAATTACAAATAAACGAGTTTAAGCCTGACTTGTAATTATGTAAAAACTTGGATTTTTGGACTATTTATTTAATTTATATAGTTAAGAAAAATTCTGATGGATAGGTAGGAGGTAGGATTGATTCCCCACTCCAACCATTCACTGTTGGGTTCTAATTATCAGTGCTGTTCCTAAAGTGGCGCTGGGAAATAGTAACACGGTCTGTCTGTAGGCGTGCATGAGTATTAGACTACTAGTACTTCATAACCTATATAGAACACGAGGCTAATGAAATATTAATTCTATAATCTTAAAAATAATTTGGTTTTTTAAACTTTAATTTTGAAAAAATTCTTACGGCCTAAAATCATTGAAAGTTTGCTTACATAATACTTGAATGCTCCCAATGTCAATTAAAGACCTTTTCTTTATGTTGTAAGTATATTTTTTTGTTAAGAGAAATAAGTCAAAGTATAGAATAGTTAAATTACTTTTATTTAATGATGCCTTACTGTCTTATAAAATTTACAAAACGGGCATTTTTTTAAAGTTAGGAAACAAAAAGTGAAATAAAATTATTTATATTATTATAAAAATTGCTTAAACGAATTTTTATTTTAAAATCATAAAACCCTGGTGCAAAAACCGTTTCCTAGATACTTTTTAATACATTGTATAATTATTTTGAATGTTTGATACTGATTAAAGCTACCCAAAAGTGAGTAGTTTGAATATTCAAATTTTTATAACTTTCATCAAATCAGGAATAATTATATTTCATAGTTTTGTACTTTATGTATATTGTCTATTTATATTGTTAGTAGGGTCCGATTACAATTAGAAGAACACCGCTACGTCATAACTATTATTTCGAATTTTGAATACATATTATCAATAACTATCAGTAAATAAAAAATAAGTAAGTTGTAATAAAATAATATTTCCTATAATATTATCACTCCACTAAACCCCCAGTAGGCGGCGATAACCAATTAATTACTTTGCCAAATGATGTAGCTGTGTTTTTCTAATTTTAATCGGACCCTAACAATTGCTGTGCAATCCTTTCAATTTTCACAATATTATTGTAATTTTTACAATAGATGCAGTGAGTAAATAACATTTAAAAAATGTATCACCTTTTCTATTATGTTAATTATCAGTAGTTTTTTTATATTTTTAAAACTGTAAAAAGCTAAATATATAAAACTGACTGAAATTTTGTTACCACATTCTATATGTTTATTATATCATAAAATTAATAATAAAAAGATAAAAACCTATTTGAAAATTGTAAAAAAGTATTTGGAATGTATTCAAAATAAATATTTTTATATTGTGTTCTTGTCTGATATTGACAACAAACTTAACAGTTCTTAGAAAGAATGATGATAACCTACTGTCATTTATTTGTTTTACCATTCCTTAATTCTAATTTTTAAGCAGTCCTGTGGCTCTTTCGCCTGGTCATGAAAGTAAATACCACAAAAAACATTTGTATATATTAGAGTATATTTTTAATAAATTGTATAAAAAAAATTAAATAAACATAATTTTAAACCAGAAAAAAATGCGAGTATTAATAATATTAAAATCGTTGGGAATATCTTAAAATTAGTAAACATATTTTTAAAACATTTTCTATTCTTATTAAAAACCAATGAATCGTGTAATAACATTTTCAGATTTTTTCAAAAAGGTGTAGTTATTTATAATCGTTCTATAAAATAAAGATCCTGCTGTTTTTTTTTTAACTCACAATAAAGAATAAAAATAATTTAAGTTATATAAAAATAAATTAGAAATTAAACCTAATGATTCCTTTATGGTGTTCCAAACGGTATTATAAATGATATATAATCTGCAAATTCACCCCAATTAGACCTATTGAGCTGGAAAGTTATGACCCATGAGAGTAAGGCTACAAACCAAATGGAGGTACCAATTGCAGAACACACGACATCTAAAAAACAAATTCACATAAATAGTTTAAATTGTTGATCAATACAGTATCAATTTAAAAACTACTGTTTAATAACTTACAATAACGTACCTACACAGGGTGTTAGTATATTCGACCGACAACGCTTTACCATAGAGAGCTCTCGTTAATTGATTGAATTTTGGTATAGGAACATAAACAATTAAAGAGCTTAGTTACCAAGACATAGAGTGTTAAAATATTTAAAACAAAAACGTCTTTAAATATTTTTATCAAATTTGATCTACCAAGATCTTATCAAATACGTGAACTATTAAACATTTGGCATGTACTTACTAGATTAGAATTTAGAAATATTGAGTAGTTACAGATTATCATTCATTTTAGCACAATAAAAGGTTTTTACTTTTTGACTAAAAATAAACAATAAAAAAAAACTTGTTCCAGTGGCATAAAAAATAGGGGAAAAAAGTTGCCACTAGAGCGTGCCACTGGTTAAATTTTTCAAAACTTAGTTTTTGTCAAAATATTACTTTATTAACGCTTTCGCTGCCCAAGCTTTAATGACAACTACACGCTCTGGCCCATCGGTATACAAACATTTAGAAGTTTGGACATTCATTTACGTCATGGGCCATACATAATGAAAATCTAAAAATTTATTCGGGGGAATAGCTATTATATATACCTGGTGATTATAAATACAGACAGAAGTTAACACAAAAAGAGAAAAGAATATAGACCTCTATAGGATGGATGTCAAAGAAGTATATTACTGGGCCGCTGGCTGACGCTGTACCTATAAATTCATTTATGGTTGACCTGAGGCTTTAAGTTCTCGGAAGCCTATCTAGGGAGTGGAATAAATGAGGAATTAATAAATCGAAAGAAGTAGGGTATATCCAAATGGTGGCACAATTAGCCAATGAAGCTGCAGCCACCATGTCAAAATCTTGTAGGGAAGGCTGGACCATTCAAGGCGGGGAGTCAAAAACAATAAAGAGTAGTTTAAAAGGACGTCTGAAAGGATAAAAAAAGACGTAAACTTTCGTCGTAGTTCTATACAGGCTGTCCCATTATTGCATAATTGCTTGATATTTCAATTTGTATTATAGACACATGTTTTGAATAAAAGTTAAGTGGATTTAAAAAAAATATAATGGCAAATATTTTTGGAGATACAGGGGGTTACGCTTTTGCCTGGAAAGTAAAAACACATTTTTAAATGGAACACCCTGTATTTTATTTCATTATTGGAGGTATGAAGAAATGTTTAATATAAAAGTTGTAAAACCATATTTTACAATTATTATTCTTAAATATACATGGTAGTCTATAAATCAGGGGAAAACCAAACATCCTGTAGGTAATTACGCCTTATAGATTTGGTTGTTTTCACATCGTTTTATAATTTTAATAGAGCAAACGTTCCTAAAAATGTTAATCATTTTCATTTATTTGCTGTGTCTAAACTTAAGGTTACAATATTCTCAATTTTTTCAAATATATCCTGTGTGCTATATACCATCAATTTATAAATTAATTTCTTTACTTTTTTATTTTGTTTGGAATTCCATTCCCAAACGAATATTTTCTTAAGATTTTGACGGTTTTACCATGAAAATTGACATAATTTTTTCACATTTTTCTAATTGGCTTTTGAAAATATGGACTTATTTAGGGTAAAATGCTAATGTAATTTTTGGTAACCCATTTGTCAGAATTAATTAATGCTTTTCTATTCCTTCGACGTTAGATGTAATATAAACCATTATAAATAAAATTTAAAAATCAGTTTAGGCTCAAGAATGCCAAACAAAATAAAAAGTAAAGAAACTAAATTATTAGTTAATTAAATTTGTGGTGTAACATACAGGGCATTTCATTTGAAAAAAAAAATAAGAATATCGTAATCTTGCGTTTTGACGCACCCTATTACAACGTAACAAATGAATGGAAAGTCAAAACAATTTTTAGAAACATTAAGTCTATTAAAATTGTTTGACGATGTGAGAACAAATAAATTTGTTATACAATAAGGGGGTTTTATTTGAAAACAGTAAGTGTTTCCACCACTCATTTATGGACTTTCCTGTATACTTTTAAAAATTTTAAAATATCATACAACTTAAAAATATCTTTGTATCTTTAATAATAAAATAGCTATCGATCAATTATGCACTGATGAGACACTCTGTATATATGTATAATTAGCTAACATGATAGTATCGTTAGATAGGTAAATTTATAATGAATTTAATGCTAAAATGATATACAGGGTGTTGCATTTAAATTGGGTAAAATGAGCCATATTTGAGATGTTTCAAAACCCTCTGTATAAAATAAACTAGTTCTATCACTTCTATTCGTTAGTTTGGTATCTTATAAGCCTGTATTTTAAATGTTCAACTCATTAATAAGCTACTGAAATTCTGATTTTATTTGGAGTCTATCATTTTATATCACATAAAATTAATTGCTTGGTGACCCGGTAATACTTTTTAAAAATTCTAGGGTTTAATACGATATTCCCTAAGAATTCTAAAACTGAGATGAAATATGGTGTTCCATTTAACAAATTTATATTTTTACTTTCCAAGCAAAAGCGTAACACACTGTATATCCAAAAATATTTTTATATTGTGTTTTTCAAATCCATATAACTTTTATTAAAGACTTGTTTGCATGTCTATGCAACAAATTGAAATATCGAGCAATTAGGTACATCATTTAATTAGAACCTGTTAAAGCCTTGCTATTTTAAATTTACAAACATAATATCAAAACCAAATTCATAATGCACTAATTTAAGAACTTTTTCAAATGCCTACGGGGTTATAAAGACAATTCACTAAATAGTGGCTTGTCTACATCTTCAAATGATGTTACAAAACGTCATGGGCAAGGGGAAAACAACTATCATGACGTTAATGAACTTTATGGGCAGCGAAAGTGTTAAAAAGCATATTGGTCACCAAATTGAAAAAAATATTTAAAGGCGTTTTTGATTTATGGCAAACTTTTAACATCCTGTATCTTGGTAACTAAGCTCCTTAAAAAGTTCATGTTCCTCTCCCAAAATTCATCAGTTAACAAGAGCTCTGGTGTAGAGCGTTGCCAGTTAAATATGTATGTAAATACATACAAGGTGTTATTATATCGATGGCTCAATCAAAAACCGCCACAAGACAAAAAACAAAAAAAATTAAATTTTTGGTCCAATGGATGCAAAATATCATTGTTTTACTTTAAATACCGCCACAAATAAAAATATCCTTAAATATGCCCAAAAATCATTTAAAATCTAGTCACAGACTGTGTCTAAACTACCTCAATTCGAGTTATTTTCTGCAAAAACTCCCAAATTTTATAAAAACTATGCAATAACCTGCTTTTATAATCGTAATCGTTAATTTTAACAGCAAAATATCGAAGATTTTAAATAAAATATAAAGATTTTATGTCAAAAACAAAATAATGATAATAGACACTTACAAATTTCAAAATGAAATTTCTCGAAACAACAGTTTTTGAGTTGTGGCAGTATTTGATTGAGCCATCGATATTCAAGCCACAATGCTCTACCCCAGAGAGCTCTCTTTAATTGATAAATTTTGATACAGGAACATACTGTATGTACACAATAAATTGAAACACATTGTGTTGTGACGGTTTTGGGCAGGTACATTTTTGTACTGGCCCTCATCGAATTGCAACAATGTATATTTTAATTTTGAATAAATTTTTAAAAGGAATTTTTGACATGGATGGAAGGAAAGGAGTTTGGTCATGCACATTCAGACAAGGCGATAATGTAACACAAAGAACAGGTCTAGGTAATGAAAAATGTAGGTGGTTTATCTGTAGGTCTGCTCAAACATCTTCAGCATCCATTGGAATATTGGAGGTGGGTATATCCCAAAAAAAATAGGCCTATATGGTCAAAATTCTCACAGAACAAAATAAAACTAAATTTTTAAAGTAGCAAAAAAAATTGATAAATTTTGGAAACTATTAGGTGCTTCAAGACAGTTCTGGGTTCAAAGTGTATCAAATTCAGTCTACACTAGAAATGTAGGGCATAGTTTTAAATGAAAACTGGTCCTTCAGGGTAAAAACTGAAGAAAGGTAGACACCCTTCTTTTACTTTTCTGGATTTTTGACAATATTGCATTCACCGCTCAAGGAAAACTGGGATTGTTCATTGAACTATTAGACCAACAACGTGAAAAATCAGAACTACAGGATCTGAGGCTGTATAATGTTACTGGACTAATAGTAATAATTGTCCAATGGTAAAGTATTTAACCTAGAAATAGGTACTTACATTTTTTCATTGACTTTTGTTCATCAAATTCTGGTTTCCTGAACGCATCATTGAAAAACCAAACTGCGTTGACTAACCAAACGAAAGGTAGGAGGAAAAATCCAACTAAAATAGTGTATTTTTAGTCTTGTTCTGTTTAAATATATATTCTACTTACTTCTAAAATAGGTTCTACATAAATATAATTTTCTATCATTAGGTACTTTAGATAAGTCCATGTTTATTTAGTAATTATTTTCTATATTTTATAATTTACTTTGAAGAATTTTAGTCATGTTTATCATCAATCAATCAAATGTCAAATCAAAAGATCTACAGCACAGCTGCACAGCTGTCCAAAGTGCCTAAACGTTTGTCTATGGTAAGCAACCAAAAAGATTATCTTATTTACTGCTATGAAACAGGCCGTTGGAAGGTTGCTGAATTCTTAAGAGAAAAAGTACACAATGACTAAACAAGAAGCGATTGACAAATTGCAGTGTTGCCAGTTGGTGGTTATCATTATAATACAGTCAATATTTAGGGAAAAATTGTTTTATTTTTTTTTTAAATTTACATGCCATACTATTTTTCCGGCTATACACTTTTCGGCAAATTTTCAATCGAAAGGGATGACAAATTCCCCATAGCTTCTTTACATAAGGTACAAAAAATTGACTGGCAAGAGAAAAAATATATGGGATCAATACAAAATGTCATATTTTTTAAAACGTAGTTTTACGTTTTAATATATTTCAAATTTTAAAATGTTGACCGAACTATAATTTCATGGATTTATTGTTTACAAAATGATAAATATGATAAAGCACTTAATTATTACTTTATTTTTTACATTTCCAAACAGAACTTGGCGAGTAAATATTCAACATAATATAAATACATACTACATACATTGTTTGTATACGTATCTCAAGTTGTGTTACAATTTTAGAATACCACCAGAATATTGTAAGTACAATGTCGTCAGCTGCGGAATTTGAAAGCATTGAAAGTATTTTAAAAAAATTACCTAATGAAGACCGTGAAAAAATATGCAGGGTATTGTATGGACAAGGAACAAGGTAAAATAACATTTACATTTTTTTATGACGCGGTTACTTATCTATATTAATTGCTGATGAATATTTTCTGTAGTTAACAATATAGTTATAAATGCAATTACACAGTTATTCAAATATATGTTGATAAAAAAAAATACTAAAAAACCCTTCACATTCGAAAAAGTGCTTCAAAATTTAACAAAAAAATTGTGGAATTAATTCCAAAATCTAAAAAATACCTATACCTTCAACAAACCCGGTGACACTGCTAATATGCATAATTATTAAATGACGTCCTTTACCCGGAGTGATTTCAATCCTATAGTGGGTCCGTCCATGTGGGCCCCTGTGGTGGGCCCATGGATGGATGGATGGATGGATGGATGGATGGATGGATGGATGGATGGATGGATGGATGGATGGATGGATGGATGGATGGATGGATGGATGGATGGATGGATGGATGGATGGATGGATGGATGGATGGATGGATGGATGGATGGATGGATGGATGGATGGATGGATGGATGGATGGATGGATGGATGGATGGATGGATGGATGGATGGATGGATGGATGGATGGATGGATGGATGGATGGATGGATGGATGGATGGATGGATGGATGGATGGATGGATGGATGGATGGATGGATGGATGGATGGATGGATGGATGGATGGATGGATGGATGGATGGATGGATGGATGGATGGATGGATGGATGGATGGATGGATGGATGGATGGATGGATGGATGGATGGATGGATGGATGGATGGATGGATGGATGGATGGATGGATGGATGGATGGATGGATGGATGGATGGATGGATGGATGGATGGATGGATGGATGGATGGATGGATGGATGGATGGATGGATGGATGGAGGGAGGGAGGGAGGGAGGGAGGGAGTTATTTTTCTTTGTAGTTTTATTTCTATTCCAATGGTCCAACTACCGTTTTTTCGTAATCACAATAAATAAATTATCATGGTCCAACAAACGCGCACCTTAAGCCGAAACCGGCATCGCCTTTGTGAGGGAGCCGGTAAGGATGCTGCTGCGTACATTCGTATCTATCTGGTCTAGGTAATCTGCGCCATGGGTACAGCACGTCACGTTGAGGACAGCGCCCCGCTTGTGACGTATAATCCATCGCAAGTGTTCATTTCTTGCTAAGCGATATTATCGTTGTCCTTGTTTTTGGCCTCATAATGAGAGAGAAAACAACAGAGGCACACATTTACTGTGCCCATCTTCCACTTAATTTCGGAATTCTCGGAACGTCGCTCAACGCCCGGTCGTCCAGTGTCGTGCCAACGCGGTTTGCGCTGAATATTAGATAAAATAATAATAGGCATTGAGGAAAATATAAAATATGTAAGTTATTTTTTTTTTTGTTTATTATACTAGGGCACGTGTCCAAGTGCCCTTACGGGCAAACCGCCACTGGCTAGATGGTGTCATAATTATATCGTCACGTTGATAGTTCATATTTTCATGTCGAGCCAATAAAAACAGCAAAAAGATACAATAGAACTGAAAGACGGACGAAGAACATAACACAACCATTTGTAATATCTCAATAACAATTCTATATATGGATGCGTCGATATACATGATAATGGTGTAGCTAATTACAAGATTGGTATACAAAGGGGAAAATGTCCGTGCCTTTATTTAGAAATACTATTGGTAATATCTTAGTAAACTCGTGGAAATTATATAACAGTAAACAACACAAATATGTCCCAAATGTAGTTTAATTCAAATGTGCTGAAAATGAATTCCTTCAGACTTCATCAGCTTCATTTCCTAACATACCAGCTGATATTCGTCGGGACCAATCGAGTAATTTAATATCTAAACAACCTACAAGAAGATGCAGATTATATCAGAGTCAGAAAAGAAATTTTAATGTCCATATACACCCAAATTGTTTTGAAGGATATCATTCAAGTTAAGTGATTCAGCCAACGTTGCGTTCACGCAACACTATTTTTTTGTATGTTCTTGTATTATAATAAAAAAAATTAACTATTACTTTTATTTTATACTATAATAAATCATTTTAAAAAATATTTCATTACATTATCTATTTTTTCAACGCTTGTCCATTAATGGGTTAAAGGCAGCCACAATGGAGACGGCAATTTCCGGCTTCAAGAAAACGAGTTTTTCCTTTTTAACGGTTTTTCAAAACCGGTTCCTTCGCAGCAGCTGAAACAATCAATCGTTTATTGGTCACTGCTGGAACAAGTAAAGATCAAGGCGCATGATGTACATGAAAAACATCAAACACCATCAACGGCATTTCCAGAAAGTATTATTGTGTCTCCTCAAGATATAATACCCGTTCCTTACATAGGAAATGGCGCTCGAAAAAGGACGAAACGGCACGAGTCTACAGCAGTTGCGACTTCAACTCCTTTTATTGAGGAGTTGAAAATATCTAAGATACCCAAGGAACCACTGAAGAAGAAGAAAGCGGTAATAGTCAAAAAGGAATTATTTTCCGAGAGTGAAAGTGACACTGAGAGCGATGAGATAGACACCCATCCCTGAATGATGAGAGTAACTTCGAGTTGGACGAAACAAAATTCTCTAAATGGCTCCACTGATAAATGCACGATTGCCGATGTGAAGAAAGGAAGCTGGGTCACAGTAAACTATAAAGAAAACCTCTTTCCTGGGCTCGTCATAAGTCGTGTGAGCACAGAAGTGACGGTAAAATGCATGAAAAAACGACAAAAATATTTCCGATAGCCCGACAAAGAAGATATAATGACTTACATAGAAGACGAGAATCATATGATTATTAACGTGCCAAAGGCACTAAAGCGAGGCTTTTTTGATGTACACGAATTGGCCACATATGCCACTCCACAAAATATTTATGTTTTTGCTTCGTGGTACATTAAACCCTCCTTATTCTTATATTATGTATTATTTCACTTTGCCCTCATAAAAATTTCACCTTGTCCGCAACATGGCGGGCAAAGTAAAATTTTGACCGCCTCAGATTTTTAATTATTTTAATATTAGTGTGATTAGGTTCGCGGTTTTTACTTAATACATTCTAAACGTTAATAATGTAGCTACCATTTGCGCATATGTTAGGTTTTCTGAATGCACTCACAAGATCACACGACACTTTTGAACGTTAACTATTCCACTTTGCCCGACCTTCCCCTACATATTTTTAATTTAACATTTTTACGATAACGAAAGATATTTAGAAAATTATATGCATGAAATTCAGTAGAATGTAGAATGAAAACTGGAATGTTTGCAGGAAAATTATATTTAGGTTTTCTATTAGTTAAGACACCTACAAGTCTTTACAGTACTTTTTTATGAAAACAAAATAAGCCGCGTTTACATATCGCACCCCTTTTTCAATAGTGCCATATCCCTAAAAAAATTAAATTTACTTTTTTTGCCCAGCGTATACATTATGAACATGCCTACAATCAAAGACATTACAACTAAGAGATCAAATTGTTTACATTTTTATGTGGCAAATCATTATTCCCACCAGATTCTCGTTTATTGCGCCTTTGCCGGTTTTATCAGTCTGTAAAAATTATTTGGAGAACTTACTTTCGAAAAATAAAATTTGATGTATCCTATAACTATAATTTTATATTATATAAATAAAAATATGTTTTTAATCAAATTATTCTTTAAAGTTTTAATATAAGCTAAATTTTTTATTAAAAATTAATATTAATCTAAACAAAATATTAGGGTTGCAAAGAACTTCGTAAATACGGCAACGCTGAATATCTTATTTTACGAATTTACAACTAGTACCTATTTTTATGAATGAAATGTAGTTACCGTAACCAGCCGCAACTTTGCCAATCGGGTCTAACAGCTATTTTGTGTTTCTGTGTGACTTATTGATTTATTCATTTATAATACTATTTTTGTGAACTTTTTTGAGAAATATAAAGAATTAAGGTACTTGCATGTGTAGTGTTCAATAAGGTAGATCATTTAAATCGAAATTTATCCTTTCATCGGTAAGTATTTTTAGGTTAAGATATGTTGTTTTCATTTGAACCAGTGGAGTAGGGCACCCGTCTTAAAACTGTTTTGACTATACAATTTCTTGTACAAGATTTGATACAATTTCTTATAGAATTTAAATTGTATAGGATCACATAATAAATTGTTTGAAAAATGATTATCCAATCTAATTTTTCAGACAATTTACTGCAGGTTTGATAATAAACAATTTAAATTGTACAAGAAATTGTATTATGTAAACTATGTTAATTAATTTTAAATGAAATACATCTGATTTTAATATAGAATCGAATTTAATCGGTGTTAAGAATAATAGTACATAAAATGAAACGTATCGAATGAATGCCTATCAAAGAATGCCGAATGTGTCCCGGTTCGACGTATCCAGAGATAACAGGGATATAAGCAGTCATTCATAAAATATAATATTCATGGTGCCAACACTAGTTCGTACTGTATACATTCTATTTCAAGACGCGGGACGAGGCGACGAAAGGTGAGAAGTAAGAGAAGGGATAGAGTAAAGAATTTTACGTAGTTTTATCAATGAATAACTGCGCGAGCTTATTGGCGATTCAAATTAATTTTCGCGCGCCTGTCATTTGTCATCTATAAGTAGGATGTTTGTTTATTTACATGTTTTTGTTTTGGGCGGATTTTGTATTTGTGATTTTTTTAATTGTTTTTAGATAATATTCTCATTGTAATAGTGTTTTTGAGTTTCATTTAGTGTTAATTTAAGTTTAAGTCTCGTGCTTTCGTAATAAATATAATATTTATCATGTGTATGACTTAATTTGTTGAAAATATTCACCTACCTATTGGTTGCTATAAGAACATCTAGAAATATGTATTCACTAAGCCCAGGACATGTTTTATTATGTGGTTTAAAGGACATTTCAGGTACCACACGTTTATTATGGATGAACTTATTTAAACATCTTACTAGACTTTATTCTTATATTATGAAGTGAATCATGTAGTACTTTGTAAACATGTAAATGGTAATAAAACCGTCAAAAAATAAGATTACAGTTTGATTCTAAACAAAGTTTTGTAAAATTTCAATATTGTGAATTTGTAGATATCCATTTATCGTAAAAAACAAAATTTTACGACTTGTACTTGGAAAATAATGAATACTTCAGTTTTGATTTTGACATTAACACCATATAGATTGCAATTTTCTGGGGACTTTTTCGCAGATTTCATTTTTAATATAAACACTATCACACGCTATAAGAAATAAACAAATTTAAAGCTAAAAAGTAAGAAAAAACTCGAATTGTAATTGATACAAATTAAAATGTAAACAATGAACACGAACGCCAATGTTGCCAAATGATGAACTGATTTTAAAACAAAATTAATAAATGAACTGAAATATAAAAAAAATCAATATAATAAATCAGTTTTATAAAAAAAATCCTTAAATAAATATAGAGTATGATAACATATAAACAAATTTTGATTCTTAAATAAAAGGTCTTATCCACTTCTTCAAGAGCTAAAATCCGACGACGTAGCGAAGTTTTGCTACTTCTGGCAACAGTGAACGATATCCTACTTATACGGACCTTCTACAAATTTCCTCCAGAGAGCGTATCACTTAGCTTGAATCGCGTAAAGATGTTTTAGTACGTGCAAATGCTAAATATATCAGAAAAGATGCAAACCCCAGACGGTGTGAGGGCTTTCTATTTTTTGATGACTTATCCAACAGGTAAAAATACAAAATATTATTTTTTTGTTTACCTCTAAACATTATTTATTACCTATATGTATGTATATCTAATGTATGGGTTTTTAGTTCTGATTCAACTGTTTTTGGAACACCACCTGCTGCAAAAAAACATTGCAGTAAGTAATAACACTAATAACTAAGCATACAAAAATTAAATGAAATTTTAGTTAATAAAATTAAGGTATTTAATATATTTAAAATGTTATTTTAAAAATTTTTTTTTTACGATATTTTTTGCCATACCATGTTTTTTTGTAATTATTAATTAAAAAAATTATATATTTTTAGGACAGTGCTTTATTTAGATACCCCTACCTACTTAATGTTAATTTAAAATATTAAATAGTTTTGGTTAACATCATACTAGGCAAATATATAGTAAATGCCAATAAACTATAAACCAATAAATATTAAAAATCGGAAGGTAACTTGAATTCTCTTTTATTTGAATTTACTTGTACTTGAATTTACCTACATGAAAAAATCATCATAATTATATTACTAAAAAATATACCTACTTATTTACGTATTTTTTGAACATACTACTCTGACAATACTGGTAAGTTTAAAACTCTACGCCACTGGTGAGCATATTATGGACACTGTTTACAACGTTGCCAGCCGGTCCTAAGAGATCTGTCTTTCTCTCTTTCACTCACTAACAATTTTAAAACAATAACAGTCCGCAATTGTATGGGATTTATGAATGAAACATTTTGTCTCTATGTTGTAATGTCTTTGCCTACAATATATAAAAGTTCCATATCAATAGTTCTAATAAATTCCGCGCGAGGGCGCCATCAACAGTACTGCCATATCACATAACTTTTTTTGTTTCAGGTTTATATGTGAAGATTTCACATTACATTACATGTATCATTAATCAGTAGAGACATCTTTAATCAATATGTATACTGAATTTGGTAAACACAAGTACTGAAAATGCTGCTCAAAAAAATATTACATCCACAATAGTTTTTGTTTCGCTTCTCCTGTAAAATTAACATTTATAGGGTTATGGCACTATTAAAAAGGGGTGCGATATAATGTTCGTATTAACCACCCATAATGTACATCTCGACAAATATGTGCAAGTCTACATAGTAAGGCTAATTCAACATTTGGACATATGTGCCGGCTCTGCCTTGGAAGTAACTATAATATATAGATTCCAGATCATTGGCTTTACCTGCCTGGGTCCTACCCAGACAGCACACCAAATCCCAGAGATATCCACAGAATATCTTTTGTGGATATCCAATATATCCACAGAATATCAGAAATATTCCGTGGATCTAATATGGATATCCAAATGTCCGTCTATATCCAGAATATAGAAGATATTCAGCAAAATATCTAATGGGTATCTTCCAGAAAATACAAGAAATCCCAGAGATATCCACATAATATATTTTGTGGATATTCAATATATCCAATATGGATATCCAACCAAATGTCCGTCTATATCCCAGGATATAGAAGATATTCGGATATTCAGCAAAATATTTTATGGGTATCTTTAGTAGAGGTTCATAAGTAACCAATGATTATTGAATAACGTCGAAAGAAAATAGCAGAGATAAAAAATATTTTCAACACTCAAAATATTTTAAACACTCTGCCTTTGATTTTGCCCAATAAGGAAAAAGTCATCCTTATTAGGACTCTTCAGCAATAAATGAAAATTCTCGACTCCAGTCTCTAATGGAGTGATTTGGACAAAAATTTCGATCGAACTCAATTATGGCGGGTCGAGCATGAGTAGATGCGATAGTGGTATCGCCATCTATACTTAGTAAGCAGAATCAAATAACATCGAGTGGATATCCACGATGGTTTGCGTTCGCGCCTAGACTTTGATATATTTAGTGGATGTTCATGGGATATTGAATACACCTTAAAAAAATTAATTTTAAATATCTGAACGGTACTATTAGCCACAATGGCGAGCACAATGGCGTAATTTTTTAATAATTTGCTATATAATATATAATTTTATGGACATTTGCATGTCTATAAATTACATTTCATGGATATAAAATAGATATCTACCATGGACTGGACATTCAGTGGATATTTGGATGTTCAGTAGATATCCAAATTATTTGGTGTGCTGTCTGGGTACCGACTCTAAACAAGTTTCACACCAAACTCAACCATGGCCCCCATCAAAATGTGTGGTTTGTACGATGTACTACTGTAATTTGGGCATGAGCCACAATAGATCCATCTGGGTCAAAGTAAAAAGTAATATGATTATACCATTCATTTTCAACTTAACCTTAGACCTTCCTATATTGTCTTATATTCTAGTTGTATATCTGTATCTGAAGACACCATCGCTCTTTCTGAAAAATATGGATTAGAACTAATTTCTTGCGCGTTCACCAGCCGAGAAGAGCAACTGCGTGTCCCAAGAAAAATTAGGGTTGGTCTTTTTCAAAACAAACTACCTTTAGACACATGGAGCCCTCTAAAACAAATGCGAGAAGCCATGTTCAAAATGGCCGAAGAGGCTTTGGAATTGGCATATAATGGAGGAGTTAATGTTTTCTGCTTTCAGGAAGCCTGGAGTAAGTATAAAATCTAGTTCCTCTATAAACAAAATCTATAGTGGTCAGCGTGAATTTTGTCGATAATGTGATTTACTATATTTTTTTGCATTTATATATAGATATGCCTTTTGCGTTCTGTACAAGAGAAAAATCACCATGGTGTGAATACGCCGAGGAAGCCGAAAATGGTGCTAGTACTCAATTTTTAAAGCAAGTAAGTGATCAAGAAGTAACCCAAATTGTTTCCAATATAAAATAAAGTTACACTATACAATCTGCAAATGAGCAATAAACGATTTTATAACCCGATTTTATTTTCTAGTCACATCTTAGAGCTTCTCTAGAATATGACACTTTTATAATTGTAACCTGTGCAATCGAAAAATTTATTGAACATTTTTTTTAGTTGGCAAGAAAATACAACATGGTTATAATTTCGCCGATTTTGGAAAGAGATGTCGAGCATGGAGATATTTTGTGGAACACGGCTGTAGTAATAGATAATCATGGAGATTATTTAGGAAAACACAGAAAAAATCACATTCCTAGGGTTGGAGATTTCAATGAATCTACTTATTATTTTGAAGGAAATACTGGACATCCCGTTTTTAAAGTAATTTAACATCGATTTATACAGAAGTAGAGACTGCCCGGATAGAGAGGACAACCCCGTTCATCTGTCATGGCTGCTTGAGATAAATCAGTGAAAAAAAAAATATGTACTGTCTACTTGAGTCACGTACTGATTTCCAACAATTCGCGCCACTGTAATTTAGCGAATCGACACATTACCATGGTAACAACGCAAATAACTCGTCAGCGCATCGTGACATACATATTCTTCTCTATCCGAGCTGATTCTGTATGCTTTATGAGTTTAATAAAGAATACCGTTTTTTCAGACAGAATTTGGCAAAATCGCAATAAACATTTGTTATGGTCGACACCATCCCTTGAATTGGTTGGGTTTTGCTTTAAACGGGGCAGAAATTGTATTTAATCCATCCGCCACAGTAAGTTGTAATCAGAAGAATAAAAGTATATCAATTTAACATCAAATTGAATCATATCATCCCTTATCCCCATGCGATTTTTTTTAGCAAATCTTTCAAGCATTTTAAAGACTACTTATTTCACAGGTTGGTGCTCTAAGCGAGCCGCTATGGGGTATAGAAGCTAGAAACGCGGCCATAGCTAATTCTTATTACACCTGCTCTATAAACAGAGTGGGAACTGAGGTTTTCAAAAATGAATTTACTTCAGGAAACGGGTTGCCGGCTCATAAAGATTTTGGTCATTTTTATGGATCCAGTTACGTTACAGCTCCAGATGGTTCCAGGAGTCCAGTAAGTTTGATTAATCGTGTTTTTGATATTTAAACATTTAGATTGACAGGAATAGCAAAAGAGGCGACATGCGAAAACTTGAAATACGACGCAAAGAACGATTTATGATGTCACGTTGTCAAAATTTATTAATATTATTTAGTTCTGATTACGTAAAACAATGAAAATTGAAATAGTAAAATAGATACACAATAGATGAATACCGACTACGGTAGCGTAGTTGTCTACGGCGCCGGATTCATTTGCGAGTCAATTTTGAAGTATAAGAGACACCGGTTTTGAATCCTACAGAAGACCATGTGAATTTATTTGCAAGGTTCTCTGTAGTATTTGATAGATGTCGTATTAGCAGAAATTTAATTTCTGATATATGACATCCAGATTATAAAAATCGCCATGCGTTACCGTTTTCAATGGTGGTGGGTCGGGGTTTCCTCACATGTAAGTCAAATAATAATAATAATACTCTCCCTAATTCACCCCCTTACGAGTGAATTTTAACCCCAAAAGCTGAGCTTGTGCGGGGAAAGGAACGGCTATTATTATTATTTGCCGTGGCGCTCCGGGGCGACTTAAAGATGATTGATGGTGCCATTTGACTTACAGGTGAGGAAAACCCGGAAAACCTCACCCACCATCATCGAGACGGTAATGTATGGCGAATTTTTTTAATCTGCATGTCATATCAACAGAAATTGAATTTCTATTAATACGGCACACATCAAATCCTATACCGAACTTGCTTATAAATGAATATAAGCGCGTTAGACCGCTTACCACCGTACCCGATGGCACCATCAATCATGTTAAAGTCACCCCGGAACGCCACGGCAAATAATAATAATAGCCGTTCCTTTTCCCGGACAAACTCAGCATTTGGGTTACAATTCACTCGTAAGGGGGTGAATTAGGGAAAGTATTATTATTACTATTATATGTACATATACTTATTGTGGGTGTACATCTAGTAGTTTTTAAATGGGTCGATTTCCCACCTTTTTTCTTAAACGTCTCTGTAGAGTACTGCCTTATCGTTGCACAAATTTAAAGATCTTAATATTGTCAAGACACATAATATCATGAAGTATTTCCAGTGGCGCGCATATAAATACAATTTTATTTTAGAAAATCCTTAAAAAAAATTTTTGCTTTCGCGAGAAATCCGGGGGGGTTATTCTCTAACTTTTAGCTGAAAACGCATAGCAAACGAAGGCGCCAAGCGGACTTCTCAACAAAGTTCGATAACCAATCAGAAACATAATAAACAGCATAAATAAATTTGCCGCTATTTTAATATTCAAGTCATATTTAGGTTCATAGGTATTTTATTGTTTGACCTATCTACGTCCGCAAAGCTTAGCCTTAAATGTTAAAGGTCAAAACATGAAGTGCGAACAGCAAAACGCCCTTCGAATGTGTAACTTTTTTGAAAGCGCTTTACGTTTTTCAAATATGAACAGCACAGCAAGTAGAGAATACCAAAACGTTTGTGCTTTATACTTTTTTAGTTGTTTGACGCGTTTCTAGAGAGACGTGCTGAGTGCTTTCAAAAACGCTTGTTAGAGACTAAGCCCCCCGGTTTGCTCTTAAGGTTAGACATAATTAGTAAAATAATTATTTCGTTTAAATGTGTTGGGCAATTAAAATTTTTTTATATCAAATTGTGTTATTATTAAGTAAACAATTATATAAAGTAATTATTGTAGAAAAGTATTTGCCCTACCTGCCAAAGCAGCTACTTGTTCTTGTACTTTAAGAAATTCAAAAGATTTATCGCCATCTGCTTCTTCCTGGGTAAATTTCAAATCAGAATATATAATTTTACGGAACTTACATAAAATGTATTAAAATCCAAGTGAATGCCTTGAAAAACCGGCTATATCTGTCGTACTCATTGGCGTCGGAATAAATATTCTTGGTAAGGGGGCTTGAATCTTGCTAGAGTACAATGTACTTAAATACTGATATAGTCCTTCCATTATCAATTGCAGAACACAGTTATGTGGGGAATCATCAATATTTAATATATACGCACGGACTCATGCCAAATTTAGAAACGAAAAATAATGTTTATTCCCCTTATACAATGCGGTAAATATTAAACGAACGGTCAGTCCACGTGTACTTGATATATATGTGTCAAAATTCATCATCTCCGTTGTTTACCAATGAAAACATCGAATCGTAAACTTAAATGCACTGTATTGGCCGAAGTTTTACGGAGGGCAGGTGTGTTCGAAAATATTCCTGGAAGACAGTCTGCGATATCAGTGGAGTACTGTCGTGCGGTGTGTTTTGTATGTGTGGTTGGTTTAATTTAAATTTCTTTTAATAAATATAAATATGGCGTTCTTTAGACCGTGGGCGAATGAAGAAAATGAAATTGCACAGTGTAGTGAGATTAAATACAGGTATGACTTTAACAATAAGGATTTAGATATACAAGTTATTTTAAATATATTCGAATGTTTAAAAAAGGAAAATATTCAGCAGTCTGATAATGCGATCATAATAAGAATTGCTGAATTAACTAAAGTAAATAAATTTTCCATTTATGGGGTAGTCACAAAAGGGGTTGCTGTGGATCATTCACAAAACCGAAAAACAAGTAAAGAAAAACTGAAATCACTTGACAGAGCTACCCAAGATTTTATACGAAGGACAATTTAGTTTATATAAGGAGAACAGGGTTCTAACATTGAAAGTAATACAGCAAAAGGTAGCAGATTTTCCAGGATACACTTATACCAGTTTGGAAACATTGAGTCAAGTTTTGTCAGCATGTGGTTTTAAATACAAATAAATGAATAAACGGATTGCAATCACCGAATCGTCAAGGATAGTTCAATGGCGACAAGATTATTTGCGCCAGATAAAAGAGTACAGAAGTTCTAATAGACACATAATTTATCTAGATGAAACATGGTTTGACAGTCACGATGTAGTAAATTTCGGTTGGGTTGACAGTAGTAAAAATTGCTGTTTGAATGGGCCATATTCTAAAGGGAAACGTATTATAATAGTACACGCTGGAAGCAAAGACGGTTTCGTGCCTAATGCTTTATTATTATCTGCTAAACAAATTAAAAACTGTGCAGCTGATTATCATGAAGATATGACAGCAGAATTATTTGAAAAATGTTTTAATGAACAGCTTTTACCTAACATTCCACCACAGTCAGTAATCGTTATGGACAACGCATCCTACCACTCGCGGCAACTCCTTAAAATACCAAATAGTAGCAGTAACAAAGCTCAAATTTTAGCGTTTATGTCTGAAAAAAATATTCCTTTTTCTGCCAGTGTTCGTAAAAAAGGCACAACAAACAAAGAATTGCTTACTGTTATTAAAGGCATGAAGCTGGAAAAAATTTATTATATTGACAAGCTGTGCAAAGAACAGGGTCATACTCTTCTCAGACTACCTCCTTACTATTGTATATTTAACCCTATAGAGTTAATATGGGCAAACGTAAAATCAGAATTACGAAAATGTAATCAGTCTCCAAAACTGAGTAAAGAGGTTGTAGAACTCGTAAAGAAAGTTCTAGCAGCAGACCGCCAAGAGCTTTGGAAAAACTGTGTCGAACATGTTATTAAAGAAGAAGATGAGTATGTAGTATTACCCTCTTTACAACCCATCATAATTCAACCAAATAATGACTCTAGTTCAGAGGATTCAGACTGCCATGATTATTTATAAAGATACTTTAGAATTGAATTGTTTTTTTTTTCTCTTGTTTTATTTGCAAAGAATTTATTTTCCTTTGTGGTTTTTGCTTTGAAATTTCGTTTTCCAGAAAAAAAACGAATCGGGTACAAAAAGGGCTCAGTTCACGTCTAGTACCCTGTTTAAACCAAACGCCCTTACAGGCAGGTACACTTTACTCGCTTTTTTACGTTTTATAATTTAATATTCAGATGTAGCAAGTTAACGAGCTATAATGATTTTTTTTAAGTCCAAGTAAGACTACAATTAAGTACATCTGTGTAAATCAAGGCGTATAATAACGTCCAATTTATAATGATTCGATTTCCTTTTAACGAATACTTTCTTGCATATGATATATATTAAAAGTATTTATAAAATAAATTTAAAAAATGAGGTAGGTATCTACGGCTATGGCAGATCAAACAAAATGGGCCCGTTCACTTTTATTTTTGAATGTGAATTATTTATATATTTATAAAGATATTAAACTCTTTTGTCTGGTGGTACTTCTCCCGTTAAGATATTTTTGCTAGAAGTAAGGGAATTCCCATAAAATTCTTTCAGTGACTCATTGCGTCAGAAAACCCCTAATTCCCTTCAGGTCTCGTATCGGTTAATAGTTAAAAGGGCGCGGTTGTCGGATGTATCATTGCACCACCATTCCTCTTCTGCATTTATTAAAGAAATTTACATGATAAAAATATATTATTTTTTAAAAATAATGTGTTTATATTTTCAGATAAAGCTGGAAGCCCTACCTTTTTTAAATTTTAATAAAAACAATTAGTATTACTCAAGCTGAATATTACCAGATCGAAATTTTATTTGAGAAAATGTATCTGGTAAACGTGACAACGTTGTAAGTACTTCTAAATAGTGTTGTCTTCACACACTTCTAGAAATAAATGCAACGTTGCCACGTTTACCAGATAAATATTGCAAATCAAATTTCAACTTTTTGATTATGGTCTGGTTAATTTTCAGCCTGAGTAATAATAATTGTTTTAATTAAAAAGTAAAAAATAAGCTCCCAGCTTTAAATCTGAAAATATAAGTTCATGATTTTTAGAAAAATAATGGAATTTTACTATTTAAATTACATATATAAATGCAGAAATGTTATATTAGGGATACTTCCGACAACCCCGCCGTCTTTAAGCATAACCGATACGAGACGTGAACGGAATTAGGGATTTTCTGACGCAATGAGTCACTGAAAGAATTTTATGAGAATTCCCTTACTTCTAGCAAAAATATCTTAACGGGAAAAGTACCACCAGACAAAAGAGTTTAATATCTTTATAAATATATAATTAATTCACATTCAAAAATGAAAGTGAACGGGCCCATTGTCGGTAAAGGTTCCGAACGCGTTTTTATGTTCTGCAATTGATAATGGAAGAACTATACTCTGATCGGGTTTACCTTAGTACAATAAGGGAGTTCAGCCCAGACCACTTTCCGCCGCCAATGGTCGTACAGTAATTTATATCCTAAGTTGGTCAATTTGTAGGGATTGTCAAGAACAAAAAATGGTTTACTTATTGCTGAATTGGATCTTAACCTTTGTAGACAAGTGAAAGATGTTTGGAATTTTCAAGTAAGTATACTTTTTCTAATCCTTCGTCTCTGAGAAAGGCCTTACAAAAATGTCTAGATTACTTAATATTTCACAAATTAGTACAATTATTGTTCATTGAATAATCAAAATCGATAACAATGTTAAAGTAAATCTATTCTGAACACATGGTGGTGCTTTTTAATAGTCTCTCTCTAGTATTGTCGATCGCTATTAAAGAATAGTTTTAAAAACATTTTTGCAACCATTAAAAAACATTGTTACATCAGTAAAGAACTTCTCTAATAATAATAATAATATATTGTAGTCTATATCTATATAAATAACTAGCTGTTGCCCGCGGCTTTGTACGCGTTTAGTCGTGTATAAAAAAAATGAACGACTTTCAAAAAAAAAAAAAAAAACTATGTTTATTAGGGTTCATGGTATGTACGAGGTAAGCGCCAATAATTCCCGGCCTGACAATGAAGAGGCAAAGTACAACAACAAGTTTTTATTATTTTTCAATGTAATCTCCCTTAACCTCAATGCACTTCTTACAACGTTTAATTAACAATTCAATCCCTTTAAAAAAATATTCTTTCGGTTTATCCTCAAAATGCGCCAAAACAGCTTCTTGTAACTCAAAATCGTCCCGAAAACGTCGCCCGCGAAGGTCCTTTTTCAAATAACTAAACAAATAATAATCGCTGGGAGCCATATCTGGACTATAAGGAGGGTGATCTATATTTTGAAACCCGCAATCTAGGATGGCAGCTTGTGTAACGCCAGCAGTAAGAACGGGCGCATTGTCGTGCAACAACCGCACGCCTCTGGTTAATTTTCCTCGACGTTTTTCCCGAATAGATTCCCGCAACTTATGAAGTAATGCGGCATAATATGTGCCATTAACGGCGGTATTTGTCTCTTTAAAATCAATCAGAAGGATTCCTTCACAATCCCAAAAGATCGTAGTCATCACCTTTTTCGTTGATTGGCAGACTCTAAATTTTCGTAGGGGGGCTTCACCCTTACGGCGCCACTCCATTGATTCCCTTTTCAACAGAGGATCATAATAAAGAACCATAGTTTCATCTCCAGTGACTATTGTTTTCAACACGGGGTTCGAATCATCTCCACACAGTTCCAAAAACGATCGAGCACACTCGACACGACGTTGCTTCTGAATCGCCGAAAGGTGTTTGGGCAACCATCTTGCACTAACCTTATGCATACCCAAATGATCATGGAGGATTCTGCGAACAGTGGTATCAGAAAGCTTGGTCATTTCTGCCATTTCCTTGACCTTCAAACGTCGGTCACTTAGCACCAGGTTTTCCACAAGGGCCACTTTGTCCTCCGATATCACTTCCACTGGCCGTCCAGGTCTTTCGTCATCTTCAGGGGATTCCTGGCCCATCCGAAAACGTTTTGCCCATTCCTTTACTACCGAATAGGAAGGGGAACTTTAGCCATATATGCCATCGAGTCTTTCTTTAATAATTTTAGGTGTAAGCCCTTCTTTTGTTAAAAATTTAATAACCGCTCTGTAGGTACTCAATTTTCGTCACCTGAGACTTTTTGGGAGATACTTTAGTTCAAAATGATGACAATTAAAAACTATTTGACGTAAGTCGCTTATTTTGTTACCACAGCCTACGAAGGTTTGTAGTTATAAAATGTTAAACTTTTATCCTGATAAAATATCTGCAACTATGTCAGGCCGGGAATTATTGGCGCTTACCTCGTATGTTATAGTATTATAAATTAAAGTTGAGTAAAGTATTCTAATATTACGTATATTAATCTAATTAAGAATCTCTTTGTATACCATATTTCTGGTACGGATCTCATCTGCTAATATCACCAGATTGCAAGCAAAACTCATTTTCTAACAGGTCACATAAAACTATCCGTGAGAAAAGCAATCCTCCCTTAGGCTGTCGTGATGTCAGGACGTCGTCATATGTCGTTTTTATCATTTCAATTCTCATAATTTTCATACAAGGGTGTAAGAAGTTCCACTTATTTGTTTTTAATTATTTTTAATATTATTTATTTTTATTTATGTTTATTTAAATTTATTTTTATTTGTTTTAATTGATTTTTATTTATATTTGTTTTTATTTCATCAGAAAATCGAAAACCCTGAAACAGGTCTTTATTTATGTATGCGTAGTTACAATTCCAATTTTCAAAAACCTTTAAAAAACTTATACTCTCATGGAAACGTTCACCCCCTTACCGGGCATTGCCGACTAAAAGGACACCTAAGTAAACTAACAGTAGTAGAGGATAGTGAGTGCAGATTCTGTGAGGTGGAGGACGAAACCTCCATTCACGTCCTAACTGAATGTGTAGCAATACAGATTTCAAGGGCACTATATCTAGGAGGATATCAAATAGAAAAGGGAGATTTACCTAACTTGAAGCCACTTTAAATCCTACACTTCCTAAAGAAAATAGGATTGGAAGGGTCGCTATAGGCATTGAGACATTTCCTTAGTGCAGTGGCGACAGAAGGGGGTACAATAGATCTTTTAGGTCGCAGTGTATTAACACCCCATTCTCAACATAACATAATGTTCACCCCCCATTTTCCCCCCTTAAAATGTAAAAATCCAAAAACCCTAAAATACGTTATTATTTATTTAGCTACAATTCCTTTTCAAGTACCCACCTTTAAAAAATCTAATACTCCCATACAAATATTCACCCCTTTTTCCCCCTTAAAATGTAAAAATCAAAACCCCAAAATACGTCATTATTTATTTATGATGAGTAGCTACAATTCCAATTTTCAAATTCTTACTTTTAAAAAAATATATGCTTCCATACAAATTTTCACCCCCATTTCCCCCCTTAAAATGTAAAAATCCAAAAACCCTGATATACGTCATTTTTTTATGATGAGTAGCTACAATTCCAATTTCACTATGCAAAAAATCATGCTGTTACCTTGCTCTGTGAAAAACAAATCTATCACATGGGAACCGTACATTTTTCGGGATAAAAAGTAACAAATGTGTTATTCCAGACTATAACCTATCTTTGTGCCAAATTTCATCCAGATCCGTTCAGTCGTTCTGACGTGATTGAGCAACACACATACATCCATCCATCCAAACTTTGCCTCTGTCAAGACCTGATGACTAGCGTTCCCAGAAATAATTTAAACTTATTAAAACCCTTTGAAATGTGGGAATTCGAGCGAGCACTAAACCAAAATAACAATACTTCGCCTGGAAAAGACAATACCTCTTATTGAATGATATCGAATCTACCAAAAGACCAAAAAATATCTCTTCTATAGATATATAACTCTGTTTGGATGGGCCATGCGCAATACCAGAAACTTGGAAAGTATATCGTTTTACCTATATTAAAACCAAGTAAAAAAACCAGATAATCCAAACTCTTATCGACCAATTTCCTTAGCATCATGCATGTTCAAAACATTTGAAAGACTTATTAAAAATTGGCTAGAGAGAGAAAATATTTTACCGGAGTCACAATATGGGTTTAGGAAATCTAAATCTACCTTAGAAGCTTTAACATCATCAGTAGCTGACGTATTAATAGGATTTACTCAAAAATCAACTACCACAGCATCATTTGTAGATATAAGCTGCTCAACCTTTGACAATGTTAATCTTGAAACTTTATTCTTAAAGCTGATTTCCATTGGCATTCCAACACAAATCAAGTACTCTCAACTCCTCGTTACACACATCTCGGACTCCCACAAGGGAGTATATTAAGCCCATTGCTATATATATATATATATATATATATATATATATATATATATATATATATATATATATATATATATATATATATATATATATATATTGTATATAATGGATATAGCTACAATACAAAAATTATCCAATTTGCCGATGATATAGTTCTTTACTCCAGTGATAAAACTATTCCTAAATCTAAAGAAAATCTTAACTCCACCTTACTTAATGTCCACAATTGGCTAAATGCAAATAATCTCACACTCTCGGAACAAAAATCAGAAGTCTGCATATTTTCAAGAAACAGAAATATTCGTCAAGGACAAATGGAATTAGGGCCTTATAATTTCACAATTAAAAATACTGTAAAATATCTAGGCCTATATTTCGATCGAAAATTGCTATGGAAAGATTGTATACAACAAGTTATAAGAAAGTCCGAGAATTCAATTAACTCTAGAATATAGACGGTACAATTTATGAGCAATATGTTTATGTCAAGGGCCATTTCCAAATAAGCACATTACATTTCTTCCGTCCATAATCTTTCCATACTTGTACTCACTCATCTATTCTGGCAAGTTAAAAAGGCTCCTATATCTACATATTCAAACATAATATACACAAACAAAACCATCCCATATTACACAGAAGCTCTTAATATATTATTTTCAAATAAAATATATACCAAGAATATTAATCGTAACGATGATTTTAATTAACAAAACAACTAATAGAGTGTGGCCAGAATATGACCACATTTTTACAGATGGGTCTAAGGTGAGTAATAACGTAGGTTGTGCTTATTATGATTCTAAAACAAAGCATCACCAAGAATATAATTTTCCTAAAGAAGCTTTAATATACACGTTAGAACTATATGCAATCTTGCAAGCAATGAGGTATATACGGCATAATACATTTATCATCTTCACAGATAGTAAAAGTTCTGTCGACCGTCTAGCAAATTTAAATACATCCACGCAAATCTCGCATCTAGAACTAGATATACTGAAAGAAAAATTTGAAATAACAAAGCAAAATAAAACAATTGTGGTTCGGATTAAAGGACATGCAGGAATAAAAGGCAACGAAATAGCAGATAACTTAGCTAAATCATCCCATTTGTCTGGAGATGTATTATCTGCAAACTGTATCCCATATTCAGAATTAAAACCATTATTTAAAGAAAAAATTATAACTGATTGGCAGGAAAAATATGAAAACACATTAACTGGTTTAAACTTTAAAAATTATCACAAACAAATTCCAAGATTAAGATGGTTTCATTCCGTG